GCCGGCCTCATTTATTATTCCCCCCTCCCGGAGCTGTGGCCTCCCGGTGTTGAAGATCCCCCGGACGAGGGGCGAGGACTACCCCCTCCCTGCCGTGACACCCCCGATCCCCCAGCGGGGCTGGTGAGTAAAGAAAAATAATGCGTCTGCCACTTTAAGAGGCCCCCTCCCCCACCGGGTCCTGGTGTTGGGGTGGAGGGTGGTCCTGACCGTCCCCCTGAGGGTTGGGATGGGGTAGCCCCCGAAGCTGGGAAGAACTCGCGGAGCGGGCTGCGTTTTAGTGTGGCGTTGGTGGGGATTACATAGGGGACTGTTGGTGTTAGGGAGTCGGCGGCCGTGGGGGACAAGTGGAGTGGATTTAATTCCCTGGGGTGCTGCGAGTACCGGGTGGGGAAGGGCGGATTGGGGGCGCACCGGCCTGTTAGTGTCCGGGGCCCGCGAGTGGTCCGGGGCTGGGCGCCATCCTCCGAGGGGGTCTCCGGTGACAGCCGGGAGCGACGTTTGGGAAGCGGGGGAGGGAGGGGGGGATGTTGTTCAGATGACACCGGGGTGGTGGGTTGGGGTGTGCGAGTGCGTGTCTCCCGGGCCGTGTTTGCTAGGTGCCTGTGGAGTTGGGACGCGGAGTGCCCACGGAGGTGGCCGCGTAGGACCCTTCCTTGGGACTCCTAGTCGTATCACTTCCAAGACCCCGATCTGGTTTGTCAGCAACCCCAGCTGGAGAGCCCCCTGGCCAGAAGTTTGCAGCTGTTCAGCATCTGGGCAAGAGTTCTCCCAGTCTCTCTCTCCACCCATGGCATGCTGAACTGGGCTGGGAGTGGGGGTCTAGGGCGTGTTGGGGGGCTTCTGGGAGGGAGGGCCATGCATTTAGTGTCCCACCCAGAGCCAGGCTCCTTCCTACGAGTGTGAGGGTAGGTCGGTCTTACAGGCTTGGGGGAAAGGGACCCCCTCATTCTGCTGATTGGTTGACCTCTCAGCAGCCCTGGAGGTCTCTCCATGGGAGGAGGGCCCCTGGGTCTGAGCACACTTGGAGCCACTGAGTCAGTGTGCCCAGGTTTGTCCTTCTGGTGGGAGGCCCTGTCCAGCTCCCCTGACAGGGTGCATTGTGGATGGGCTGGGGGAGGGTAGTGGGCTGATCCTGTGTCCTCCTCTCAGTGCTCAGGCCCCCATGTGAGTTTTCCTCCAAGGCCTGGTTTCTAGGGTTTGGGGGGGTGGCACTTGTCCACCTCTGCCTCTCTCCACTCAGTGGGTCTCTGCAGCAGCTTGGGGACCAGCCTGGACTATGGGAAGTTTGCCGTCTGGGGCGGTGACCTTGGGCTGCTGGGCCTGGAGATAGGAGGGGAGCCCAGGCCAGCATGAGAGTGGGTGTTTTGGAGTTAGAGAGCTGTCTGCTTCCCACTCCTCTCCAAACCCTCAGCAGGGAGGTCTTAGTAGCTGAGGGGAGCATTGAAAAGGCTCATGTCAGTGTTCACAGATGTCCACCGATAGTGGCCGCAGGGTCACACCCGCCCCAGGACCTAGCCTGGCTGTCCCAGCTCCCACGGCCTGCCTGGGAATGAATTTCCTTCCTGTGGTTTCCCAGTGCGCTGGGCAGGAGATGGGGGTTGGGTGGGATTGTGTGGGAGTGGCTCAGGGCCTGTTTATGTGGGGTGATTGGGGGACACTGGAGCTATGTGTGGCTCTTCACCCAGCTGTCCCAGCACAGACATTGGGGTCCTTGGGTCTCAGAGGTCGTACCGTCTTTGTTGTAACTCCCCTGCCCCCCAACATGCCCCGTATGTGTTTGCATATGTGGGGGTGTAAGCATGCATTAATATGTCCCTAAGGGTAGGGGTCTCTGGTGTCTGTGAGGGAGGGAGGAGCTTTCACTCACATGCTAGTAGAGATCAGAAAGGCTGAGCTCTCTCCCCAGGTCACACAGCACCTGTGTCAGAGCTTTAGTCCTTCCGCTCTCAGGCACAGCTTCATAGGAGGGAGGGACTCCTGGAGGAAGGTAGTCATTCCTTGGTCTGGAGGCCCAGGGCCAAGAGAGCGTCGACCCCCCCCTCCTGTTGGGGGATGGGCGGGGGTTGGCGCCTCTGTCTGCTGCCCATCTGCAACCGGCTGGAGGTCTTGAGGACTTGGAAGGTTCCTACTGCTTTTCACCACTCCATTCCGCCTAGAGCCCCTGGGCTGGAGGGCCTGGGCTTCCCAGCTCTGCCCTGCATGGCTCCTGGCTCTTCTCAGACTGGGAGACATGATAGGCTTTCTGGCTGCTGTTACATAATCTCTTTCCAGCAGAGGTTTTTTTTTTTTTTTTTTTTTAAATCTTCCCTGGGTCTTTCCTGGGAGGTGTGAAGGGGAGGAGAAGGCCGAGGGTGACACCCCAGATTGGGGGCTGAGGGAGCCTCAGGATCTTCAGTGAGGAGGCTGGGGGCCGTACCCTATCCCCTGGGGCTGGGGGGACTAAGGAGTGGAGCCTTGGGGTTAGATCCTCATTGCTTATGGCCCAGCCCTTCTTACCATTCTCTGACCCTGAGCTGTGGGCGTCCCTGGGCTTGTGCCCCTAGAGAGGCCTGGTCCTCTGCCTGTCCTGCCATCCTTCTCTTCCTGGCCAACTGGAACTCCTGCCCTGGCTGGTTTCGCTGGGGCTGGAATCTCAGTGCATGCTCTGGCCTGGTGTGGACTCTTGTTGGCCACTTGGGCACCCACCTGTGTACCTCTGAGGGGGTAAGGGGAGTCGGGTCAATGCTGGTGGGCCCACGTGTCCCTAGTTGTACCTGAGGTGCCCTGGCATCTCTGCCCCTCTAGTCCAGAGGGTGGTGGCCTTCCTGGAGGAGTATGGGTAATCCAGGTCTTGACCTCTTAACAAGTCATAGCTGGTGCTCACTCAGGTCCAGCAGGGGGTGTAGGGTCGGCTGTGAGCCTAGAACCCATCAAGACTCAGAGTCTGGGTCTTGTGACACTGTAGTGGCGGGTTCTGAACCAGAGCTGGGACTCTCCAGGCCCTCAGTGGCCAAATGGTCTAAGGCAATTATCTCCCTTTTACAGGGAAGGAGGAGATGGTGGTGGGGCCGGCACAGCCTCAGCATCACTGTAATTGTTGGTAGCTTTTATGAGCATGTCATGGGGCCAGAGTCTGGCCAGCCTTCTGTCCTTCTGTCCCAGTTTGGTGACTTACTCATGGGGGAGAGGGCAGTGTTAGATGCTAGGAGCTTCACTAGAGACTGGACGACTTGCTGCTTTGTGGTTGCCGTGGCCCCATCCGTCCCTGGTTACAGCAGGTGAGATGGAGCTTAGGCTTCCGGAAGAGCTTCCCATTGGAGCGAGGTTGGGGAGAGAAGAAAGGCTCTAACTTGGCCTGGAAAAGGAGGAGATCGCTAAGCGCTCTATTCTGCAGCAGCTTTACTGGAAGGCCTTGACTTTTGTCCCAGCGAGGCTGGTGCAATTTGGCTCTTGGAGTATTTATCTTCTCTTTTGGGCCCTTTCTCCCTGCAGGGTGTGCTGGGTGTGCTGGGTGGGGGATCTTAGGCATACTGACATGCCCAGATGCACCTGCCAGGCCCCAGCCACGAGTGCCTCCCAGACCCGAAGGTGGACATGGGTGTAGACACCCACAGAGCAGCTGCTACCCTGCAGGGGGTGGAGGGTAGCAAATGGCAAAGATGATTAAAGGATTGGAGAGTGTGGATGGGGTGAGGGGACTGCAGGCAAGGAGGCGAAGGGCACAGCAAGAACTCTGAGGAGAGAAGGGTTCCCTGGAGCAGGAGCACTAGACCACAGATGGGCAGGCAGAGAGCCCTCTGCAGAACAGAGCTTGGCTTGTGAGTGGAGGAGCCCCGGCCCACTTCCTTCCTGCCCCGGCTCCCTTCCCATTGGTCCCTCTCTGGTCCTGGCTCAGCCTGCCTCTGCCCCTCACCCTGACCACCGTGACCTAGTGTCCTTGGGTAAATCACTCCTGGGCCCTCGGCCGTCCAGATGTGCAGGAGTCACGCCTGTCAGTGCTCAGACACCTGGCTGTTTTGGTGGTTTGTGCCTGGCCTCTGAGACTCTGCGCCCACCCTAATGAGCAAGGCCACTCAAGGCCGCACGTGAGCCTTCAGGCATCTGGGGGGCAGGTCCTCGAGGCCCTCTGCAGCTGACGTTTTCCTTTCCCCAAGACCGAGGCCACAGCCTTCCTGTCCAGGAAGCCCTGCCGTGCTCCTGGCCACTCCTGGCTGCTGTGGAGATGGGGACGGCTCATGGACTCTGCAGGACCCTCATGACTTAGGGCCCGGCCCTTGTGCCCGTGTCCGTTATCTGCTCTCCCTCCTTTCTGCTCCAGGCTGGGAGGGGAGGCCTTGTCCAAACCTCTGGCCTGTCACTAGCCGCACCCAGGCGGGACCGTATTTACTCATTTGAACTTGCCCTCCCAGGAGGCTCCGGGCTCTCAGCCTGGTCACTGACCTTGGCGTGGTGCCTCCAGCTGGGTGCTCCTTTAGGAGGCGGGCAGCCTAGGAGGGCACATGTAGAGAAGGAGCTTTTTCTGCCCCCTGCTCAGGGGCGCTTTTCCCGCAGCTGCTCTCCCCACTCACAACACTTTCCAGTGTACGCGAGACCAACATGAGAACACCTGAGCTCCCTGGGGGCTCTGTGTCCAGCTCTGTGCTGGCTGTGGTGACACACAGACCGTTCATTTCCCTTCACAGCCGTGTCTTACCATTGGGGAAACTGAGTCTCGGAGATTGCAGTGACTTGCACGAGCTTTCCCAGTGCTGAGGTGTGAAGGACTCTGAGGTCCCAAGAGGGATCCTGCCCTATAAGAGGGGAATGGGGAGATGGAAAGGAGGCACAGAGGGACCCAAGAGGAGGAGGAGGGAGGGAAGGGAAGAGCCAGCCTAGGAGAACTCTCTGGTCTGGGGCAGAGAATTGGGGTTGGCTACAAGTTGGGGGAATACTGCTTTGATTCGGGGAAGGTATTGTCTTCTGATCTGAGTGTTGAGGGAGAGGGTCCCCACCGTGTGGTATGAGGGCAGAATGAATGGTGCTCAAGAACCCTCCGGGGTGCCCTCTGGGGTGCCCGCTGGGGTCAGTGACTTGCACGAGCTTTCCCAGTGCTGAGGTGTGAAGGACTCTGAGGTCCCAAGAGGGATCCTGCCCTATAAGAG